AAGAGAAAGATCTCATGAAGGAAATCGAGCAACTGAAAATTCATATACATGAACTGAACGGACGCATACGAGATGAACAAAAGCATGCTGCCGAGTTGTCCCAAACTATTTTGAAGTTCCGAGAAAGAATGGCAAATTTGAATTCTCAAATTCAAGATCAGAAGGATCAAATTTTGAGTCTCCAAGCGCAAGTTCCTAGTCAGGGTTGCAAAGTTGGCGCCGCCCATTCTTCCTCCCAGATGGTTCTTCCCACTTTTTCCTTTTTCCTCCCAGTTGGTGTGCTCTCTTTTCGTTCAATACGGTTTAAAGGTGCAATATGGCGGATCGATATTACTGTGCATTTTTTTGCCGAAACGAAATCAAAGTTTTGTTTTCGTTCCTTGTTTGAATCCTTCTTCTTGTTCGAGTTCCCGCCTTTTTGTTTCTTTCTCGATTTAAAAATAAATTTCAGTGTCTTCTCTACACAGTCCATAACTATGTCGGTAAGTATTCTTGCAACAGGATGTGATGTAGTCCCGAATCTATGTGCCACAGCAAACCCAATTATAAATTTCAGAAAGACGACGGAAAACGCAAGAAAGAGTCAGTTGTCGATCTAACCAGATTCCTCGATAAAGAGATTCGTGTGAAGTTCCAAGGAGGGCGCGAAGGTATGAATTTGTTTTGGAATATTGTGATGTTTAGAATTTGAATTTCTGACTTTTCTGAATTTTCTCGTTTTGAACAAAGTGGAATAAAACTTTGAAACATAGAGCTTGCCATTCCGATTTTCCGTAATGAAGATGCTACCAAATTAAACTGCACCGAATTCAAGTTGTTTTAGAGCAAAACCGGGGAGCCTGAATTACACGGCGCCCAGTTTTATGCTAAAATGAAGAGGAAGTGTAAGAGGAAAGCGTGGGCTGACTTGCAATTTTAGCTACAAAATTTAGGTCCGAATCTCCTCGTGTATAAGAAAAATACCCTTAAATTTCAGCCAGCGGAGTTCTCCGAGGATTTGACCAGCTTCTCAACATGGTACTCGACGACTGCCGAGAATACCTCCGTGATCCTCAGAACCCATCAGTTATTGGTGACGAGACAAGGTAGGAGCAATGCTCGAAATTTGACAAAAAAAAGTTCCTGCGTAAATCAAGTCAAAAAACATTCGTCAATATAGATGCCAAAGCACGCAGCTTGAGTAGCTTATTTCAAAAGTTTTGTTATCATAGTTACGAATAAGCTTTGAGCTTTATAATTATATGATTAAAAATATCTTTCAGACCGCTGGGCCTCATTGTGGCTCGTGGAACCGCCATCACTGTGGTCAGCCCAGCCGACGGACTCGAGCAAATTGCTAATCCATTCGCCGGTCAGGAAGAATGAACGACCGAAATATCCACCATTATTATATGTATGTGATCTCTTTTGCGATAAACATTCAACTCACGAAAACGACGAAAAAGTTGTTATTACATACAAAACACTTGATACATTGAAAACAGATGGAACGACCATTTAAAAAATATATTGGATCCTTAAAAGGCAGTCGAAAAGTCCATAGCGGTAAATTTCGTAGTTCAGGGGCAGTAGGGAGAAAGTCCCTATGGGCTTTAAAGACTAGCCAGGTAATAGAATCACAATATTTTCATTTTTGTTGAAAGAGAATCAGTGAAGAAGAAGACTGGAAGATGAATTCGATAAAAATGGGCGAAAATGCGAAGACGGAAGGGGAAGAGGTTGGGGGGAAACACATGAAGACTACACGATGAGAAGGTAAGCGAAATTGGAAAATTGCTTGGTTTTTATGAAAAATGTTGCAGTGTGGGGAACATTTTGAGGTGGGAGACTTGCGAGAAATGAAAATTTTGCAAAGGCAACTAGAAAACGTTTTGCCTGAGAAGTTGGTTTTCAGGTATTTACATGGAAAAAAATACAGAAATTTACACAATCAATGGAAGGCTGTGAAATTTTTTGGGTGGGGCAAAATTGGTTAGTGGTGTATATGGACAAGGTGATTGTGTTATCCGAAAGCTGGTTGAGACGTGTAGACCATGTATACAAAGCCGTCTGGATCACGCTCTTGACCGTACAAGTTGGACATGCTCATTGAGTTGGAAACCATCGAGCGCTCGTTGACAAGCAAGAAGAATGCTTGTTGTGGATGAAGTTGAAGACTGAAAAAGGGAAAAGTGATATTTCTTGGAGATCAGAAGATGTTTTTGTTTTCATTGAAGAAAAGTTGTTTCCTATCTACCACGTACCGTCTTCTGACAATCGACATCAGTTCGGCAACAGTGATGTGATCTGGGACCAAGAACTTGCAGCGATCCATCAGTGGAAGACTGCGTTCTCCATCGAATCGTTCGATGATCACCGGAACCTTGTTCGGCTGTTGACTGCGAATTTCTTCTACATCCTTTTGACGTTCGTCTGAAAGTAGTTTCATGTTTTCATCGAGCAACTGCAACATCATCCACCGATTCTCAACTAATATTAACCACCTGCGAAGCACCAATGGTCCACGCAGAAACTGAGCTCTGTTTCATTACGCAATGTTCCATTGGGTGCCGCCCTACTACCAGTGTCACTCCTTCTCATACAAAATCAACTGATTTTCACATGTTGAACTAGCATAATATCTCTCCGTTTTTCACGCTCTCTCGGTAAAACACATGACACTAAGGGTGTCTGTCCTCTCCCTTTTTTAAGAGAGGAAGAGGAAAAAGTAAAATTCGCTTTAAAGAATAGGATGCTTGAGATCAAAAAAAGTTACCAGATGTCAGAGGAAGTACTTATAACTGAAGAAAAACTAAAGAAGAAACGAAAGGGTTGGTTCTATCAATGTGCTCGGGAAGAGTAAAAAAGAACTTACGAAAAGGCCGTCTTTCTTTGAATGATGGAACGATTCCGGAGATATAAGACCCTCCACGATTTCCGCTCATCGCTGTTTGTGTGTAATTTTGAAGCGTGGCTAGCATAAACGCCTCTTCACTTTTTCGTGCTGAGACCTTATTGTTGATCTGGAAGTTTTTTTATTGGAAAAGGGTAATACTGGTATTTGGAAAGTTGAGAAACTATGACGATAGAAGAAAATAAGAGAGAGGAGGAAACAGTATGTTTTTGTAAGTATTTTATCGAGAATGGAAAAGACAGACAGGTGAAAGGGAATGGGACAGTTGATGGAGAGAATTGACGAGAGACAGAGGCAGTCAGCGGCAGGCAACAGCACACGCTCTTCTGCTGTATGCTGCTTTGTCATCTGGGTCTCTCGCTAGGAAGCAAATCTTTCTTCTAACACCACAAGATCGACTGAGGACACATGACCGCGAGACGACGAGACGACTAAGAGAAGAATCATGTGATGAAAGGAGATGGAGAAGAGAAAGAATAGAGCAAGAGGACAAGGGAGTGTGTGCATGACCCTTCCACTGCTATTACAGTAGTTTGATTATTGTGTCAGACAGACAAAAAGGCGGTAGCAAGAATTAAAAAGAAGAATCCGTGCCAACAGCAGAACCGCACGATTCTAATAAATCTGAGTATAAGATCCAATTTGGTAAGATTCTAATACTTGTATCTTATCTTGAGCCGCACCCAGCGCCCACTAACCTTTCTTTTATATCAGACAAGACTAGATGTACTTGAGATATGGTGGCAGGGAATGTGACTGAAAGGACATCTGACCGAAGTAGTCTTAAAACCTTCCAGCCCAATCCCAAACCGATTTCCCCAGTCTAGTTGAACAACTGTTAGTTTTGCAATGAAATAGGAAAGAACTTATCAAAGTGTATTCTGAACACTGACCTTTTCATTGAGATCAAGAGAAGTTTGAGAAAGAAGATGAAAAGTGATTTTTTCTTATGAAAGGCTAGTAAGAGTGAGAACTGGACTGTCTTTTTGAAACTGTTTCCTAGTGAATGGCATTCAAATCGAATGATATCAAATGTTGATAGATGCCGGTTGAGAAAGAAAAAAAACATTGTTTGGTTGAAATGATGAAATCATATAAATTAGCAAGGAAGAGAGCAGGAGAACCTGAATGTGCACAGAACAACAAAATATAGGAAATCGATGGACGACAGCAGTCTCACATGTGCCGAGTGAGCGAAACATGTTTATTTCTTAAAAATCAATAGGCAACTGCGCGATGTGTGCTGCGTCTCTAGTTATTTTTAGGAGGTGGAATCTATTTTTGGTATATAATTTGGGGAGTATTGACTTGCTCAGTTTTGTAGTAGAAAGATGGCAGTCGAGAAAGTGCGCTCTAAAGAAAAAAAACGGGGTTAAACAAGTACCAAACTAGATTAATCCATGGATTGAGAATAGAGTTATTGTTTTGGATATTAAAACACATTAGGAGTTTGAAATGTTTGACTACAGTATCTACCGTAATTTTTATCTACAAATGACGTGATTTGAAGGAGTTTGAAGTGGATTTCGGTTCCAAAGGGTTTATCCGTTTATATTTTATACAATTCTTGCTTTGTTCAACCTGAATCTTTTAGAGAAATGATCGAATTGTCTCTAATAAAATTTTCAGCCAGACAAGAAGAATGTGATGTCAGTCCGAAGACGTACTCATTCAGATGATTTTTCTTTTCGATTAGAAAGAACAAGGCGACCTTCAAAACTCGATGGTGCGGGTATCATAAACATTTAAAAATAAATTGAATAATTTAGTCCTTCGAGAATCTCCAACTCTGCCAGTCCAACAAGGATACTCGCTGACTACTGTCGTTTTGGTTTCGCTTGTAGTGACGCTGGTCTGTCAAAATGTCGCCCCACCAGCCTTTTCATATCTAAATCAACTGATTAAAAGTAGGTGAACAGTATTTTGCATACGTAATTAAAGAATTTCTCTCTAGATTCTCCGAAAAGAAAAATACCCGGGCAATCGAATCGTTTAAATATCGGATTCATCAGTACCAATTCACCAGAGAAATTCGCTCCAGCTGTTCAAAAACCAACATTTCTAGTAGATCCAATTTATGATGAAAAATGGAAAGGAGTTCATACAGCTGTTCCTGTCATGACGACGGAACCAGAGGAAAAACGGGATAACAATCATGCAAAAGTGAAAGAGGCGATATTGGCAGCCAAGGCAGCAAGTAGATCAAGAAGAGATGGAAATCTGGAAAGAGCAGTGACAATAATGGAGCACGCAATGGCATTGGCTCCTAACAATCCACAGATTCTCATCGAAATGGGACAGATTCGAGAGATGCACAACGAACTCGTGGAAGCAGATCAATGTTATGTGAAAGCATTAGCCTACGACCCTGGAAACTCTGAAGCATTGGTGTAAGCTTTTGGAAAATGTTAAAGTCTTTCCTTCTTAAACACGAACAATTATCTTTTCAGACTTCGTGCTCGAACTAATCCCCTTGTCAGTGCAATCGATAGGAAAATGCTGAAAACAGTGCACGATTTGCGGAACGAATTTGCACATCTACAACATTCGACAGCTCTCCGAAGAATGATGAGGTAATTTGGCAATTTGAACTTTCCATACAGTTTTCTGTTTCAGAGAAACATATTTTCTCTATGTCTATCATACAGTAGCAATCGAAGGAAACACTCTATCTCTCGGACAAACTCGTGCAATCCTTGAATCTGGAATGGTCATCCCTGGTAAAAGTATTCGAGAACACAATGAAGTCATTGGTATGGATGCTGCACTTCGTTTTTTGAATTGCTCTCTTCTTTCCAAAGAACATCACGAGATATCAATCGATGACATTCTCGAAATGCACAGAAGAGTATTAGGAAATGCAGATCCTGTAGAAGCTGGAAAGATTAGAACGACTCAAGTTTATGTAGGGAAGTTCACACCAGTGGCTCCTGAATATGTGCTCGAGCAGTTGGCAGACATGGTTGATTGGTTGAATGATGAGAGTACAATGGCTATGGATCCCATTGAACGAGCTGCCATAGCTCATTATAAATTAGTGCTAGTACACCCATTCACAGATGGAAATGGAAGAACGGCACGGTTACTATTGAATCTGATAATGATGAGAAGTGGATTCCCCCCAGTGATTCTTCCAGTTGAGACTAGAGCAGAGTACTATGCATCTCTCCACGTGGCAAATCTAGGAGATCTGCGACCATTTGTGAGATACGTTGCCAAACATTCTGAAGCATCCATTCAAGTAAGTGTTTCATTCAATTCCACTTTGTTTAAAATCAATAATCTTTCAGAGGTACATTGGTGCAATGAAAACGTCATCTGGCAATGTGATCAACGGAGAAGAACCTAACTTGACCGCTGAAGAGTCTAAAGTCTCTGAGAAAATCGAAACCGAGTGTCGAGCGGGGAGTTAATCATATGTCTATGCTTTCCGATTTAGGGTTTTGAATGTGATACTGTTTTACTATTGTCCGGGTTTTCTTTTTCTTTAGAATAAACATTTGTTGATCTGTAGACACATTACAAAAAATTCAATTTTGAATCAAAAACCTTTGATTGAAAATGATTCAGTGTAAAAACCAATAATTTCTAAAAGCTTTTTGCTCTCCGCCTCCATTCGATTAAATATAAAGCTATGAAACATTGCAAGCGATTCATATTCTTTTATTGGACTAAAAAACCATTCTGAAAAGTCCTAGTGATAAAACAGCACCTGGCCAATATTATGTAATATCAGAAGCAAATTGATTATTACATGTATTGGGTAGGAGCTGTTCAAGCTATGGTTAAATGGGTAACGTTTTGAATTCGAAAACAAGATAGTTTTTCTAAAAGAAAATCAATTTATTACATACAAAAACTCAATAAAAAAATGGCTATAAAAGTTTCAAAATTGTTACAGTATTTACGCAGTCTGGTAATAATTTAACCTTCATGTTGAGCCAAGAAGAAGTTTCCAGCGATTGGATCTCCCAACTTGTTCTTCTCGATGAATTGTTTCACATTGAACTTGGCACGAGAACTTGGTTTTGGAACAGAAATACGTCTTCCCTGATGCTCCCACATCAGAATCACATAACGATGAAGATCGGTTCTTGGTCCTGGAGCTGGACTTCCATAAGCCATTTGATGTTGCCCTGAAAATATCACGTCATTTGAGTCAAATTTAGAATCAGGAAGAAGTGGGGGGGGGGGGGGTGGATAATTGGAGACTAGATCAAAATTAATACTTATGAGGTCAGGTGAAATTCTGAAATTCGTCTCTCACCTCCATTGATTCCATCGATGATATTACTGGCTGGAATGTTGCAGACAAGCCAGTGAAGCCACTCGGCAACCGATGGATTTTTTCTCGACAAATTGTCTGGATCAATCATGAGAACAGTGTAGATGCTTTCTGGATCAGCTCCTGGGAGAGCCCATCTTGGAGCATTCTTCAAGTTTCTGACCTGCATGGTCATTCCTGGTTCGACCTGGATTCCATCCCAGCACAACTAAAAAGAAAATCAATTGATTCCAAAAAGTCAAAAACAATAAATCATACATGAAGTTTTTGCTTTGGAGCATTTTCAATTATTTTTGGAGTGATCTCATGTTGAGCAAAAGCGGCAGCAATGTCAGCCATTGTGGATATTCTGGAAGATCGAAAATTGAAAGAATAGGAAAAGAAGGGAAGATATAAAGACAAGAAAGAAATAAAGAAAAATAACAGGTGTTTCAGGGCGGTTTTATGAGCAGACAACAAAGATGAACAGAAAAAGATAGAAGAAGAGAAAGAGCTCAAGACGATGACGTGGAAAAAAAGAAGAACAAGGATGTAATGTATGGCATTTTGATGGATGGTATGGGATGAACATAGACTGGAAATCAAGAGAGCCAGAAAAGAATCCAGCTGTACAACAAGAATTGATGAGTCAACAAACTAAATAGAGCTAGAAATAAAGAAGATTGAACAAAATTTATCCAACAAAAGAGAAACTAAAGATTCCGTATTACCTGTAATAGAAGCCTAACCAAACAGTCTACTTTGAGCTCAATTATCTCGATTTCTGTGAAGGATACCAAATTTGTCAACGGATGAAATGTTGGTGATATTATGATAAATATTTTATCAGTTGACAATTTTTTGATATCTTTGACAGAAACCGAGATATATGGGCTCAAAGATGCCCATTTAGGGGGTGTTATAGTAAAGTGTTTACGGTAACTGAAACGAAGTCGGTGAACTCGAGAGCTAAACATCGGCTATAATTCTACAAATTGAAAAACTTTTCAATAAAAACCAGAACTCCTGCAATGAGCATAAAACTGAGATGGTGGACTCCTAGAACTTCTTCATCCCATCTGGCCGTTATGAGATCCCTGAATGTGATGTACTGCTTATTACATCGAAAAGGCGGGAAGAACTCAAATTACACTTTCACCCCCTTTTCTCCCGTAGTTCTTCTCATCTTTACCCCATCTGAGAAAAAGAAAACAACAGTTGACCGCCCCCATCTGACTCTGATTCTCTTCTTCTTTTTGAGTCTTTCCGCATCCGGAAAGCTTTAGCTCATCAGATATCCAATGTGGTTTTTGAACGTTGTGATGAAATTGCGATGAAGATCGTTTGGAACTTTGGGTGGAAGAACCTTTTGGAAAGTTCCTTGGACAATTTGGAACGCAGTGGAAGTGAAGACTGAAACAATATTGGGAATAATTTATTTTTGGAATATTTCCTATATTCTTTTCCAAATCAGAATATTATCAGAAACTCGATTTCATAAAAAAATGTCCGACAGGTGAAATTCAGAAAATCCGACTCATTCCTATCAAATACACCCTTCTTTCATACTTGCGAATCTTTCTGACTCGTTTACTCCACCCGCCCATTTTATTCTATTTTTTTCCATTTCTTCATTAATCACTCCATCTGAATCACAAGACGCTTTTCAAAAGTCAAATGTACACGTATTCTGAAGTGACAGTGGATGTGAATACACCAAATATTCTTCTGACCTTCTACCGTATCCATGGAGTGTTTGCTTTGGTTTTCAATATTTTAGGCGTGGTTCTGATTATGAAAAATCCTAGAATTGTGAGACTATATCGAGGATTCATGTTGAATATGCAGGTAAAGTGATTTCCATTTTCGTCGATACAAACTAGATGTGTTTTGAAGTTTGAGTACAGCTGAAAGAAGAATTCCTCGAACTCATAGAATTATTTTTAGCTCGAAACGTCTGTTGGTTCAAAAGAGTTTGAAGCTTGGGTTCATAGGGTTTAGTTCATAGAAAACTTATACCTGTACAGTAACTGAAATACCGTATAACCTATAATAGAATGAGTGGTTCTTCTATTGCTACAAGGTACCTCCGGACAGCCCTTCCATTACAGGGGCCCTCCTAATACAAGTTTTACAATATTCATTCAAGAAACAATAAATATTTTGAATGACTAATTATTTATTGTAAATCAGAAACAGCTTCTGCTATGGGACATTGTTGCCTGATCATGAATCTAGAAATTCAAACAAATCAAGAATGATTAATTCCAAATCAGACCACCTGCTTGAACTTTAATTTGAAACCAATTCGACATCCCAACTTGCAGATTCTGTCTCTTCTGGCTGATGCTCAAACAACACTTTTAATGCAGCCTGTTTATATATTTCCCATAATCGGAGGATACACAAATGGAGTTTGGTGGAATGTGTTTAGGATGTCATCTCATTTACAAATGGGAATATTTCTTCTCTTATTGTATCTACAAGTAGCTTCGATAGTTTGTGCTATTGTTACAAAATATCATGTTGTATCCAATATTGGGAATGTAAGATAAATTTTAATTAGATTGACACTTTGAATACTGATAATTCAGACTACCAATCGTCCGTTGTTGTTCTGGAACTTTGTTATCTTTTATCATTGTTGTGCTTTCTTGATTTTCGGAATATTCTGCATGTCATACCTAACTAAGGAACAAGCAGTGGACCTTGTAAAAATAGTGAGAATCATCCGCGGAACCAAAAAAAGTCAAAGATTTTTCAGAAGTTTCCAAATGCAATGAACATTTTTACGGTGGAAAATGTTGAAATTTACGATATGGAAGTTAATAAATGGATGATTATGACAACTTCATGATTATAGCCATGTTAACAGTAAGGATTTTAAGGCCATTAATAGTAAAATCTGAAAAAAATTTAGAGCTCTATTCTAATCTCATTGTATTTCTCCATCCGGCTCTTAAAAACTCTTCGTTCAAAGCGTTTAGTCATTTCTGCTAGAAGTTTTCGAGGACATCAAATTGCAGTTACAAGTCTCATGGCACAAGCAACTATCCCTTTCATTGTAATAATCATCCCAATTGGAACTATTGTTTATTTTTTCGTTCATATTGTACCGAATTCACAAGGTATTAAACTTTTTAAAGACAAGTAGAAAGTGTTTGGGTTTTCAGGAATATCCAACATAATGATGGCAATATATTCTTTTCATTCATCACTATCCACTGCTGTCATGATAATCAGCACTCCACAGTATCGAAAAATGATAAGAAGAGGATTCAAGTAAGATATACATGATTTTGTTTTTAAATGAAACGGAGCAAATAAATTTCAGATTACCAACTGCTTTAACTTCTCCTCAAATGACAAGAGTCCACCCTTTATCGGCAACTACATTCCGGTTGAAGAAACTATCCAACCCGGGAATGTGATCTATTTGAAACTAAAGCACCAATGTTTATGAAGTTTTTATTATGCCATGTTAATTAAATACATTTCAAAAAGATCGATATAGAAAATATTTCGTCGATAAAATCCGTTTACAAACAAACTGCAAAAAAGAAATTGAGTAAAGACTAAATGTCTCGGAATCCTGTTTCCTGATGAATTGATGCAATGTCGGAGAGCCTGAAAATGAAAAAAAGGTTACAGGAAAAATTATCATTTCTTACTGTTTTTTGTCTGTATACTCTGGTAGTTGGTTTTCAATATCCGCCACCTCATCAAGAACATCTTGGAGTTGCTTCTCCTTTTCAGCCTCCAAAAGTGTTTCATCGGGAATATGGTATCCAATGAAGAACTCATAAATCCATGCTCCTAGAACTCCTCCAATCATTGGACAGATGATAGGAATCCAGAACCATTTGTAGTTTCTGTAGCTGAAAACTTCCCATCCGTATCCAACACAGAGGGAAAATAGACGAGGGGCAAAATCTCTTGCCGGATTGATTGCATATCCTGCATTCAAAGCCATTGACATTCCAAGGAAAGATAATAATCCGGCAATCCAGGCAGGTTGAAGGAATGATGGAATTTCATTTCTACTGTCTGTAATTGCAGCTACTCCCAAACAGAGCACCAGTGTTCCAGCGATTTGATCTACGATTGCATTGAAAGTTCCGAGGAAAGGACCAGGATACGTGGCGAATATGGAAGCAGTCGCAGTGTGGCCGGTTACTGTACGATTTCCTCCTTCGAATGCATTTATAGCATCTCAAATTGATGATTTTCAGAAACAGTGTCTGTTTAATTACTTACCGAAATAGACACAAAATACTCCAAACGCTCCAATAAATGCTCCAATATTCTGAGCTACTACATATACCAGAAATCGAATCACATTCATTTTTCCTTGTGTTAATTGAAAAAACGAGACAGCTGGGTTGAGATGAGCACCGGATATTTTGGATCCCATTAGAACAGCCAACATCAGAGCAATGCCCCAACCAACTGAAACTCCGATCCACTCGTTATTCTTTCCTTGTGAAAGAACGTATTGGGCATTCACGCATTCTCCACCGAACTGAAAAAAGGGAAAATTAGAGAAAGGAAACAGAAAAACACTAACCACGAGGAACGCTGTGCAAAAAAGTTCTGCAATGAAAGCCCGAATCAACTCATTTTCTACAACGAACTTGGGCTTAAGTTTCTCCACTAAATTGCCTGTCATCTGAAAATAGCAACGATCAGATTCAAGTTATACTTTCAGCAAACCTTTTCTTCTTTGGATTTCAGAATCGGCGGAGGTCGATTCGTATGCTGTGAAGACTTCTGACTTGGAGCAAACTCGAACGGAGTATCTGTGACAGCGACAACTGAATTGTCAACTGACTTTCTGTCTACTGCGAATGGAGGCGATCCTGCATAAGAACAACAATAAACTGTTTGTCGTGAAAAAGAAGGAAAAGGGGGCTGGAAATAAAATTCATTTCAAACATGGAAACGATGGGCTTCCGTGTGGTGTTCCCACAAATTATAGATAGCGGTAGAGATGGATTCGCAGAGACAAATATGGGAAAATATTCAAAAAATCGGGAGAAGAAATGGAAAACTCTCCATATTTCACATCAATAAAAGCAAAACATTTTGGAAAAATAATACCTGGAGGTGAATGCATGGCAACACTAAACGGATTTTCTGCATCTGGCTGTGGCAGATTTTTCACTGCCAACTCATGAATCGAAAGAGCATCGTTCGTGTCAAATGGAAATTTGAACGAACGATCGGAAGAATCAGAGGAAGAATCGGACAACATCGGAATGAAATAGACAGAAATCTATGACATGGGGAAGACACTCGACCTACCAAAATCTAGTTTTTTTTCGACTGAATTTAAAAATAGAACTTCTTCCATTCTACCACAATATATTAGCAACTGAAAGAAATCAATTTGTCTCCTTCAAAGAAAAAACACTGTTTTGGTAGGCTATTACGGTATAGGAATTCGAAATTTTATGAAAAAAGAGACGAACTTATAAATTAGACGAATAATTGGAATCAACCAAAAGATATGCAGCGAAAGTGATTAATAAAAGTTAACTATGTTTCAATAGCAAAACTGGGAACAATAAAAAAGACGGGCGATTGTTGCTTGCAAAAAACAATGCGGCATTTTTCTTGTCAACCCAACAATAAAGCTCACTCAGATCTGGAAACAACTTCTATGTCTGCTACAGTACCCCTAGAAGTTCTCGAGAACTAATCCATTAAACTATATACAAAAAACAATCTGAAATCGTTTCCTCCAGCGATACAGTATCTCTTGAATGACGTCAGAAAAATGTGTTTACAATGAGACTACATATTCTCTCTGCCCACGGTTTTTAAGTAAAATTAATCGAGCAAAGAAAGTGTGATAAGCCCTACTTTCAGCAAGCACCTACACGTGACGGCTCTAGAAATGCCGGGAGCAATGGTAGAAACGACAAAATTTAATGCTCTCTGTCTCTCGGTGCGTCGTGTTCTGGGTACAGAGAAAGAGTGATATTAGTGGAAGACTGCAGTACATGCGAACCGCCTCATTTTACATTCCGGAGACAAGAGAAATTTGAATAAGCTGGAATTCTGGAAAATGTAAAAAAGAGAGAAATTGTAAAAAGAATCGTTGTGTTGATACTGTATTTCATAAATCAGAGAAAACAAAAATTGTTGACTGAAAACATCAAAGAATCAATTCGAAACATTATTTTGTGGATATACATGAATCTGGTCAAAACTGACGTGAGAGATACTTGTAGTTGGTTCAAATGTATCAATTTTTCAGAATTGATAAACTTGGACAAACTTAATCAGATATGATACAACTCATTAATTACTTCAAAATGATACTATTTGGAAAACTTTATCTTGTCTATGAACAATATTATAACCAAAACGGACCCCACAAAAACAGCAAGGGCCTGGTCCAGCCTGGGTCAGCTGAATTGGTGGTCAATGTAAATTTTCCTCTTCTGATTTCTCTGATTCTATTGTTTTTGTTGTTTTTTTAAACATTGTACCGCCTTCTTGTTTGAACTTCGAGTTGGAAACAAGGTTCATCTCTGTTATTCAATCTGCTAGAATTCGCACCCAAAATGGCATGGTATGTGAATCAAAAAAACATTGGCTGTTGTTTTGTCACCAAAAATTGAAATTTTTCAGAGTGGTTCTATGAAAATTGAGTCAACTTCTCATAGATCAAACTGCCGGATGAACCTACTATTTCTGTATATTTTGGTTATTTTTATCATCTGATATTTTCATGAATCATAAAGATTTTTTTTCAGTTTTTTGCATTTTTCAGTTAATGCAAGCATAGTTTTTTTGTTAATTTAGTCAATCTTTTTGATTTTTGTTTTCTTCCCCATCACGCGATGACTTTTTTTTTGAAAGACCACGGAGGGAGAAAAAATGTGATAAGAGAAAAGAAACAATGTACTCAAAAACGGGGGACACAATGTAATACACGTAACAGGGATCGGCATACTTGTAACGGGCCGGGCCGGGCTTTTTTCCGAATTTCGAAGGCCCGGCCCGGCCCGGCGGGCCCGTCATTTCACAAGTTTTGAAAATTTCCAAAAACACATAAGGGGGGAACCCTTATGTGATTTGTTTCGATTAAAAAAATCATTTTTCGAGTTTTTTCGATCTTCTTAGATCAAACAGACAAACAATCCAAAAAAACAAGAAAAATGAAGAAAATTATATTGAGATTTGGCTCAAAAATACAGAATTTTGATACCGGGTCTTGAAAATTTCCTCAAGCCCGGCCCGGGCTTTGTCGGGCCGGCCCGGAATTTACAAGTATGGGGATCGGGAGGCTCTAAATATCTAATTGGTGAAAATTGCGGAGATAAGGACCCAATATCCAAGGGTACATTTAGTTTTTATAGTTAGGAGCACATTGGTTTTAAGGGTTAATTGGATTTTGTGGTACATATGGGAGGGCAAAAGAAACAATTTTTTACAGACAATTGCTCTTTTTGCTCAAAATTAAAGGGTTATGCTAAAATACTCTACACCCCAAGATCCCATGTACCCTCCGAACCAATGCACTCTTGGATTCTAGCGCGGATGATATTGGGATGAAAAAACAAGTGTGAGGTCATCGGAAGTCTGACTTACGCGCGTTATCTGTCACAATGACTATCATATAAAAAACTATGACGGTGAATGCTATCTCATTTTTAGCTCAAATTTCCACTTATGTTCAAATTCGAAATCCACGCCTCGATCTAGGTGAAAAAACATATCAACTCCTTCGTGGCTTTTTTCCACATCTTTGCATCAGATAATTTTTAAATTTCTGATGCTGATTGCTTATTTCACAGATAATTGGTAATCAAATTCTACGTCACCACTTCTGCAATTCTTTCGTTCTACATCATCAAAATGCAACGCTTCGATGATCGTATGCCTATGAATTCAATCTCGTATTCCACGATCCAAACTGAACAGAGTCCAGATTATTCAGGTGAAATAAGCATTTTGAAATAGTTCTGAATATATGTTCTTCAGATGATTCCTGCACTTGTGGACATGATGATATGGCGTTTGGAGATGGATTGGGTTACAATAGAAGATTTGTCCACAACAAAACTTTCTTGCAAAACTTTTCAAAAGTAGAGAGCAATATCAATTACGGTACTGCAACGGAGCACGAACTCAATGCACCATATCCGAAACAAGTTGCTGATCGTTACGAAGCGGAATATGATTACTGTATGAGATGGGCATGTGACTACAAGTACGTCGCCGCCAGAGTCATTCCATTCCAATCCAATTTTTATTCTGTTGTTCGACTCATTTTCAAGGGCAAAAGTAGGACTGCAAAGTGTAAATATAGTTTTTTTGATTTCCTTTTTCAGACTGGGTTTTGGATTGTGCCAACTTTGATGAAGGTCAATACGATTACTGTGGATGGTTGCCTACTATCACTTCTCCTCGAACCTTTCAAAAGTCCGTTTTGACAGATTCCTCTGATTTGTCTTACCATCGTGTGGAAGCCGGAAAAACTCTTCAATCATCCGACACTGGATATGGACTTCAATCACTCAAAACAGATTACTCGGGAAATTCAGGACTCACGAAAGACCCAATTGGTACATCTAGCTAATTGGTGTCGTTCTTTTAATTTTCTTTTTAGACTCTGATATCTACAAAGTGATGGGTTCGTCTTCTGAAGTCTCGAAGGAGTCTCCAATGGAAGAAAGTCTTCATTCAACCATTGAAAATCTTTCTCCAATTCTCAAAAACAACATGGTCATCCAATCGTCGAGCGAAATTTCAACTGGGTCCAGTCTGAAAGCTGTATTTCAGGATCTTGTTGAACTCGATCAATTCTTTGCTCAACAAGTTGAAGAGGCTCAAACGCATCAAAGTTCTCTTGAGGATTATGTGAACTGTCTCACCACTGCTCACTCATTTTCTGCAGTTTCTCTCACTTCACAATACGGTAATCGAAGAAATATGAGAAATCATGAGACATCACACTTTTTCAGAATCGGTTTCATTTCCAACTACTTCTCCACCATCGTCTTCAGTAGCTGATGAGATTGTTCCGAAACTAGCAGCTCCAACGATGATTTCTCAATTATTTTGTTTGGCTGGAAAGAAGCTAACAATCGGTTTCTGGAAGAATTGGACAAAATCTAAAAATTAGAATCGATCTGCTTTTCTTTTTTCCGTTTTCTTTTTCCCTGAAATAAATGATGTTGTATTATACTGATGCAAAATACCGAGCTATGGCATAGGAACGCCGGTAACCGTGGCCAAAGGTCCCCCAACGGCGGGTACAGTAACCTAAAACTATTTATATTCTCCGAAATATCAGTAATTTTTTAGTTCTCATTTTCGACTTGTTTGGGGAAAAACAGCAGAAAATTCGACATCGACGAAAAGCAGTAAAATACGAGAAACTGAATCCCGAGAATGAAAATAATTTTAGGTTACGGTTGTTGTCGCTGTGGAACTTTCGGCCAAAGCCGACTGCGTTTCTTTCCCACAGCTCCGATTTATTTTTATCAGAACAGTAGTTGTTCCCTTCATTTCCTCATTCATCTTCCTAAAAGACCTTTTTCCAAATTACCGACTTTTTCTCTTTTTTTGACGATGAGAAGGATAGAAAAGAGGAAAAGAGCACATATTTCAATGCTCGTAACGACTTTCGTCTACGAGAGCCGCTTCGATTCCATTTGAGTTCGTAGCGGAAAAAGAAAATTGAGATGGGAAAAAGGAAACGAGCTGTCACCACGGAGTGACAGATGTTCGTCCCCAAATCCATAAATAGGGGTGGGCAATGAAAAAAGAAGTCGTTTCGTGATGGGGACGGGAAATGTTTTCGTGAATGGCAAATGGAAGGTCAGTTTATTGGTTTTGGTCGTGGTGAAAAGAAGAGAACCGAATACTGGATGAATGGTTCCATTACTCCCTGTATCATCTTTTATGAGAAACAGAGATGTCCGGATTCTGAATTCCGTGTTTTTTTATTCCGGATTCCTAAAAAATGTGGGATTCCGAGAAAATTATTTTCGTCGGATTTTCAGCGAATGTTTTAATCTGCAAGAATTCCTGTTACATTCACCGAATTCCGCGTTTTCTTTCGTTCCGCGGAACGTTCCGGATTACGTATTCCGAATTCCGAGGAAATTATTTTATGATGGTTTCCATATTTCGCCTTCCGAGAAGCTAAATTGTAGTGCCGCGTAACACTGCTACAAACCCATTTTCATTGAGCTTTGAGACCATTTTTATTAATTTGTCATTTTCTCAGTTCTTTGTTTCTCTGATGTCTCTCTGACTTTCTCATCACCCGCAAATAAACTTTTTTTTCGAACAACTCTCTTTTTTTTCTTAAGAGAGTTGCGCATCTCAAAACGTGAAACGGACAATGTTTGACAATGAGTCGAAAGGCGGCAAAATGAACAGAAATAGAATATTTGGGTTACTTGATTACAGATTTTTCGTTTATTTAAAGAAACAATGACTGGTTTCAAAAGAGGTTTCTACTCTCATTTTGGAAAAAAAGGTTGCACTTGGAAACACAACAAGTTTCAAATGAGAAACTTGAGAATACCTGAGATTCCTCAAGTTTCTACAGTAAGACTTCTAGAATTTGAGTTCAAGTATAGAAACTCATTCCCACGGTGCGAAAACATCTCTGTTATGTTGTCAAAAAATAGGTGGAATCTTTTCTGTTCTGTTTTTGAGTCGCACAACACAATATTCTCTTTTTTTCTAGTTTTAACATTCGAAAAGCTAACGTTACTTTTTTGTGGTTGAAGAGTTGCCATTCATGAAATGTGGACTCAGTTGATCAAATATACCTTTTGGGAAGAGAAAAAACGAAGACTGATGACACATCACATTGAGCAGTTTCAAACTTTGGTTTGTGTATTTCGGAGAAAAGAAACTGTCTTTGATAACAGTTTACGATTTTTGTCAAAGTATTGAAAAGAATAGGCTATGCTCGATTGGGAGAATTCCTAGTTTTTCAGATCGCACATACCGTAAACACTCCAATAGAACGCCCCCCCCCCCTAAGCGTCCACTTTGAGCTAAATTATCTCTACTCTTGTGAAAGATATCAAAAAGTGGTAAACTAGCAAAATGTTTCTGTTTTTATAATAAACATGTTGGCAGTTGACTACTTTTGCATATATTTTACAGGAAAATAGATAGATAGGCTCAAATTTGGTGGGGCATTCTATTAGTGTTGCCGGTATTTATGGAACTCGATTGAGTTTATCTTTTTGTTATCACTTACTAACTGTTTTATTTCGAAAATATAGCTTTAGAAAATAAGACTTCCCACTGCTATTTCTATCTCTCTTTTTTTTTTGGGTCAAACTGATTCATCATTTCATCTTCTATTCGAGTAATTAGACAAGGCCACACGAACGTTTTTCCAAATTGCCAATGACATTCAACCTATTCAACCCTATTTTTCCTCAAACAATTCAAGTCAAAAGAATTTGCCTGTCGACGTAATAACTCTTGAATCGTATTGTACACATTTTCCAATTTTTACGATCTTTTTTGTTCACCTCTTTCTTCTTCTTTTAATTATTCTACTCCTCCCTTGCCTCTCATCTTCTCCTATTTCTTATCATGCTCTTTTTCTTGGCTCGTTTCACACACATATGACATGATTTGGCAACATTTTGCTGTTCTTTCATTGTCTTCTTATTTCACTTTCCGTTTCGGGTCTCTTATACCAACTGTACACATTCTGGAGATAAGAGAATAACGGGTTGCTCCAGAAATGCTGGAGAGAAAATGCAACACTAACACAACTCAAAAGAAATACCGTCATCTTTTGAAAATGTGTCGAATTTTGATGAGAATCGTTTTTCGTAAGATTTCTCGAATTCTGAATGAGTTACTGTCGGCTATGATGTGTTTCAATGCACCAAGTTTCCTTATTTCTTTTCAATTTCTCTTTTTTTCTTTTCACCCTTTCTTGTGCTCCAGGAAACACAACTCAATTACCAGAGCATTTACTTCGTCGTCCACCACTTTCTTCTCTACACCTTCTTGCTTTCTTTCGATTGCTTTTTTCTTTTCTTTCAGTTTGCTTAAAACGGAGCCATTAAAAATTTGGGGTCCTTATGTCATCGTTGACTGCGTCGGAAGTTTTGTTTTGGGGAACTACTCACTTTTGATTGAACGGTAATATTCGAGAGTTCCAGAAAAACTTTATCCATTTTTTCTCTGTATTTTTGCCGTAATACTGTGATCAACTGAACATTTGTTCACATGATTGAAGATCACAGTTTAATATGCCCTTTCGATCCTCTTCCTCTTTATAAACTTTTTCTCGAATCCCCTAATAGTCGATATAAAGATCATAATCATGTCATAAGACAGGCGAACATTCAGAAGAAAAAATGGACGGCACAATTCGAGTGTGACGCCAAACACAAACAATTTTGGGATGCGCAAAAGTTACCAAAAAAAATGAGATGTACAGAGAAAAAAATAGAAAATATTTGTTAGTTGTGGGTTGAGGAGAAGGGGTGGGCGATGACCTTGAACAGTCCTTTTTTTTCTCCATTTTCTACTGCTATTCCCGACCGAATCGGTCGATTCGAATTGGAGACTAACTAGTTGGGTTAGCCGGTCGTCAATATCCGATCTGAACTCAATTGACAAACATGTGATTTTAGATTTTTGCCCATTTTTTGTTTTCTCTTTTTTGTTGCAAATAACAAAACCATTATTACTCTCGTTTCCATATGAGGTGTTGTCAATAGTGGTAATAAACATGTGATATGAAACTTCATTTCTTCGAACATTTTTCAGACATCCCCCCCCCCCCCTCTGTAACTAACCTTTACAAATGCTCCACCGTTCGCAGATCGTACTAAATCCATAATGGTCCATCTCAGAGAATCACTAATCTGGCTTTCTAACTTATCAGCACCCATTTCAACTGTATACCATAAAACCTGTAGTAGAAGGGCCCCGAATACTGTTAAGTTTTAGCAAATTTATCTTGGCTCCTGTGCAAGATATCAAAAATGAGCCAACATATAAAATATTTGTAAAATTATGATGAACAATTAAACAGTTAACATATTTTTCATATCTTTGTCAGTATCCGAGATAAAATGGCTCAAAATTAAAAAATTAGGTGATCTTCTTTTATAGGTTTTACGGTAGGTATTTTTTGTTCTTTCTGAACGGTTTCTCATTAACTTTCGCCTATGTTCTTAATACAGTTCAAGGGTATGTTTGCTCATCATTCGGTGCCCTTTTACCTTTTCTTTGCGTCTCGACACTCTCATGCCAACTCTTCGTTTATTCTCTCCTTACCAACCTACCACCCAAACAATCCCCCACCTACCTTTTCCTACTCTTACCAGTTTTTCGTTTTTCTCCTTCTTCAACTGTTTACTTTACTTACTTTTATACACTTACTTTTTACTTTTCCTGTGTTCAAAGTACCATTCAGTTTTTTGTAGCTCTTCTTCGAATGCTCCAAAATAAGCTCTGCCCTTCCCCTCCACTTTCTCATTTCTCTATACAACTTGTATTGTTGGGGTGGCCTCAGTGAGCTCTGCTCTTCGTCCGAAATAGTCTCAATTCAATTTGATTGACAAAGCTCATGCACATTTCCTTTTTTTTTCTTCAATTTTTCCCTATTCTAAAACTGTCTCTTCTTCTCCAGTCGCGGTCATTTTGTTCTCTTTTCAAACGAGCCTCTAGAATTAGTCCAAATGGATAAACAAAGTGTTTGAGAGCATCTCAAAAATAAGTTTTCACACCAGTTTGGGATATAGCCTCCAGCATTATTTTTCTTGTTTTTAAGGGATACATTCTTTAAATTAGATAGAAGAGGATACGAAATTCATAAAATAAACATTTCAGAATTCTCATTCCCCAGTTTTCAATATGAAATTCAGAACTTTGAATCTCCGGCTCTGCGAAATAGGGTTCCCCAGTACATGGAACGGCAATCTTCTCATCACAGAAAGCCCCATGATTAGTTGCTCACCGCGGCGTGGCAGTTTTTCGTTTTTATCCCTCGTATCCACCCATTTCTAGTAGTTTTCTTTGTTCGCATTGTCTCCAAAATTTGACGCGCCATTCGAAATGTTTGAACAGCTTCTCTCCCTCTTCCTAGTATTTTTCGAATTTCATTCGTTTTGGACTCTTTCGTTTTTGCGTTACCAGTTGATGGCACATATTCTCTCTTCCCTGGTTTTTATTATGTTTTTTCTATGAAGATCGCTTATCATTCTATGTAGATACTGTATATGTTTTCAATTACGGAAATTAGTATGTATGTTATTAATCTAGGTAATATGGTTATATTTAAAGTTGTATAACGAGAATCTCGAAGAGATCTTTAGGTGAACAATAATAAGAATAAGAATAAGAAAAAAAAAGAATAATAAGAAAGAATAAAAAGAATAATCTACCATAATGTCTTTTAGGATCAAAATTTTTAGACCATCTAAATCAGATATGAGAGAACTTGACGAGTAGTACACAATCATACAGTTTTTTAAAATAGTATTATTTTGTAGTATTTGTCGAGTGCTATCATATATATTTTATAGTTAGTTGGTCCAAAAATATCGATTCTAAAAGAAACTATGGCAGAACCCGGTTTACAAGTATGGTCATTAGACGTTGGGTCTACTTTTCTGAAAACCTCCATATTCAAAGAAAAACATTTTCCACGACCTTGAGCATATCCATGATGCTCCTCCTCTCATCTATAAATCATAAGGTGTTTGATGTTACCAGGAGACAAACCAAATGGGGGATGGGCGGAAAAAGGGACCCTCCGAGTCTTGAGAATTTTCTCTTTTTTATTTTTTTTGGTAAAGAAACACATTCTCTTTTTTTGCTCTTCGTTTCTTATTCTTTTCATCTATGGGCCCCCACTTGCCTTCTTTTATGTTTTTTCCTCCCGAGTGTGAGATTTTCAAAGAATGAAAAAATTAGTTTCTTTTCGGGAGCAGGTGCTCAGATGTTGCTCTCTCTCTCACTCTATATAAACTAATCTCATTCGGACATATTTTTCTCTCACTTCTCCCCCTCTACCAGTTTTTTGTCCTCTTCTCGTTTTTTATCCTTTCGTCAAATCTTTTCTCGATTAGCCAGAATACTGTGGTTTCGTCTTGACTTTTATTGTCTTCATAAGTTTCAATTACTCTCATCGTTGTTGCTTTCTTCTTCGACTTTCCCCTTCAGATGATGCTTTTCAAAAAAAAAAAAGACCCATCCGAAAAGTGCTCATTTTTTATGTTTTTTCATTCTCTTTTCATTTAATGTCTCCCACGAAAATGTGAGTGTGTTTTCAACCATGAGTTCTGAGTTAGATCACGTCTGGTGTCATCTGGAAATTTTCTGTGCTAGTGTGGACCTGCATAATCTAAATAAGCCACGTCATGTCCTGACATTTGAACCTAGACAACATACCCACTGCCAGATGACAAAAGACAAAACTACCCCACGAGGACAATGGCGCCTATTCTCCTGATGCCGTACTGTGGGAGGAAAAGGGCGCAGAAGGTCGTTGGGCAGATTGTAACAGCCGAGAGAGAGAGAGAAAAATAAAAAGAGATGAATAGAAAATATAGAGACTATGGACCTCAGGTACGGAAGGGACGCAGCCGTAGAAAGAGAATCATTGTGGTGACCACATCGGAAGGAAACGGAGAGACGAGTAAATGTCAAAGGGCGACGACGATACCTGTATCAGTTGTGAACATCTAGAGGATTGACGGTCTCTGCCAAAAGTAGAACAGTTCATTCGATACTCTGACCAAAAACGCCCACAAGAGGCAATCACAAGACAATGACTCACCTACAAGGCTACTCTTTTTGTTTTGATAAGATATTTAGTAGTGTTCTTATATGGAAATGTAGGCAGATTTATATACAATATTTACGTTTTTCTTCATGGAGGTGCTTATTTAAATCTAAATCAAGATGATCCCATAAATCTGAAAGATATACTTTTTTGTTGATTTCCTCGTAGCTGTTATTCTGAAACGATCTGAAATTCATTTTTCTTATTTTTGGAATTCATTTCATAAGAGAATCTAGGTTTTTAAAACGTGCTCGTCAGATACTCGGCCTTTGAAAATCTTAATGTTTGTTGTTTTTAATAGAAGCACACCCAAAAGTTTGAGCTAAATTATTTCGATTTCTGTGAAAGATATCAATAAGTGGCCAACTGATAAATTATGCATCATAAAATCACAGATATCTATCTGTTGACAAATTTTTGACATCTTTCACAGAAACCGAAATAATTGAGCTCAAAGTTAATGGTTTGGGTGATTTTATATTAGATAATATACTGTAGCTGGAATCAACTGAAGTTGGACCAAGTCAGTATCAATAATCCATCAATATACATGGTCATAGTTCATTTGAAACTTCCCGTTTTTATGTAACACATATGCACTATCTAACTAATCCTCTTCTTTGCATTACTTTCCAAAAATGCCGTCAATTCGAGACTGACGAGCTCGTAAATTCATAAAAACCAGTTAATACAATACTCTCACTTCCCTTTTTGGTCTTTTCCGAGGGCAGGTAACCGATTTGAATTATAATATTTATGGTATTTATCGACGAGACATGACAAAGCATTCTACATATTTTGCGATTGCGCAATTATAATTCATCGACACCGTTTATCCATTTTTTTTTGTGGTTATCCCTGGTTGTTTTTCAACATCGACTCTATTTATTCTTTTGAAAAAATGAGTGGTATCTGATAATCGGATAATCCCCTAATCTTCCATCTCATCCTGAATCACTTGTTGAAATCTGCACTTTTATCATTTTCCATCTTCTCGAGATGGAATGTTGAGTGACGAACATAGATTTGTTGACAGCACAATTTACAAAAAAAAGTAGGGATACATTAATCATGAAAGATGTAATACACGAAGAGTTGCACACAACTCAAGAGAGAAATGTTCGAGATTTTGAAGTCTTGAATGAGAGATATATCCTCTCATCCACTATGCATTATGTTCTTTTAACATTCTATCTTTGAGCCACCATGTCCGAAAATCTTTGTCCTTTTTTTGGTCAGTTTCTTTTTCACGCTTTCTTTTGGATTCGTGTGTAGATTGGACATGCTCCATGTTTCCAATTTAAACTTTCAATGCTCTACTCTCATCAATCTCACTCCCCTAGGTTTCAAAATGAATCAGAGAACATTAAAATGCTTCTTTTTCCATTCATGTAGAACTCCACCTACCTCATGTTCTCTCTTGAAAGTATCAATCGGAATCCCTATCTGGCTTATCACCTGCTCTTTACATATATAGTAATCCCCAGACTCAAATCAGCTTCTCCATTCTCCATTTATTTTTCAAAACAACAAAAATCGTCGAGAAGACGAAATTGAAGTCAGTGTGGGATTTTGTCGTGGAGAGCTAGTCTCTCTTGGTCACATATCCACTGAAAGTCTTCGTTGATAATACGGGATTTCCGGAGATTTCTAAAGATTTTAAGCCTGGTCGTACCTGTCCTCAAGGTGCCGTTCGTTGTGCCATCCCGCTACGTCTTCACACATTCCTTCTATGTTTTTTTTCTCGTTCTTCAATTTGTCGCCCATCCTAATTTCTCTCTTTACTTTCCAACCCAAACGCTGACTTGACACTGTTTCTTTGTTTCAAATGACCCTTTGTCCCAATCTTTTTCCATTCCCTTCAACCCCTTCTTGTCTTCAGATGACTGTCAATTTGTCTGCGTTTCCATCCAATCACCTACTATATGAAAGTTTTTGTTTAAGAAGTAAAAAACGTATCTTTCCATTTTTAGACTAATTTTGAAAGTTTCGGTTTTGACCACTCAAATCGAAAAGCGGAACGAGAAGCTTCAAAATTGGGGGTTAGTTGACCTTAAAAAGGGGGCGGAAGGGTCATTTTTGTCTGCAAGGGACTGACCTTCTCTCTGAAAATAAGCGCTTCTTTGTTCGAGAATTCATTCAAGTACTCTTCTTCTATTCCAACCCATCACCATTTATTCTTTATCATACCCGTGATTATCTTTTTTATTTCTCCTGTTTTTATATTCTCATGTTTTGTTGTTCAAATTTTTAGGATTCTGTCAAAATAGTTCAAAACAATAGGATGTGTATATTCTGATATCTATTTATATGACCCATTAAAAAGTTTTATATGCGAATCAAATATTAAACATTTAGCCACATTTTTTGAATCCCACTCTTTCCAAATTTTACCAAAATTCCAAGTTTGGTTTTTAATTTCAAAAACTTATATCTGAACTCCTAGTTTTTTTTGTTTTTCCCTCGAATAGTCGCCCGTCGTATTTCGAGAAAAGATTCAGCTCATTTGTTCAAAAATCCAAGTCACCAGGTGACCTAAAAGTTGGAGATTCAGAAAAATGTCCAAAAGTAGGTGCTAATTGTGAAAAAGCCAGAACGTAACATATTCAGCTGTGAGTTTTTCTGCAAAAAATGGTATTTTGATCGTCATTTTTGATGCCATATTGCTCGTTTTTGACCAAAGAATATTTGGTATTAGTAGAGATCCAAGCACTCTCTGAAATGACTATTCTGAAACTACCATTCAAATTTGTTGGCTATCGCACTTTCTCAAATTATTGGAAAAGCTAGAATAGTACATTGGTTACTGTACTCACCACTTGACATTTGAAAGTCATTCGAACTTAGCATTCAGATCTGCTGTTGAGATTCTATAGAGAATGCGGGTTACGGTAGCTAAAAATCTAGACTCAACGGAAACCATCGTTCATTTTCATTTCAAACTTGTTCCTCTTCCTCCCACCATATCCCACTACATTTCTTTTCTTTCCATTCATATATCACAAAAAATTGAGCAACACACACATACTCACACACAAAAATACATACATACACATAAAGTATAACGCGTGTTTCTGGTGTTTCTTGCTTTTGAACCCGAAGAAGAAGAAGATAGGAAAGAAGAAAGAGCAGTCCGTGTCACCTCTTGCTCTTTTTTCTTCCGGGAGAGAAAAAAGAGAGTCCCCACTACTTTGCTTTTTCCCGCAAATCTCTTCTCGTCCCTTATTTTTTTCCGTCTTTTTTTTGTCGTTTACGCAACTTTTTTTTGGGTTTCAATGGTCCTTACTCTGCTGGCCTCGACTTTTAGTCTCACTTACAAAATTTCGGAGTTTTCTAAAGAATAAACTAGTTTCCATATTCTTTTGTGTTTTAGTTCCTAACACAATTATCCTAGAGAATCGTACCTATCTGCAAAATTGAATAATGGTTTGAAAGTCAGATAAATTTAAAATAAATGAAATTGCGGTCTGTGAACTACAGAACCAATACTACAGTATCAAACTACAACCTCTTCAAGCCAAACTAGCATCAAAATAGTTCTCGCTGTAGAATACATGTGAGAATTACACTTCGATCTCTCTGGAAAAGACCACAGAATCATTCTTATTTAAATACTTGCCATTTCCTTAATCATTTTAGTCTTGCCTACTTCCATTTTTCGATTTTCATTCCATGTGACAATAGAAGACCCCATACAAAAATCCATTTCAAAAATGACTTTGGGGTTGGTTGTGGGACGAACCAGTTTACCTGTTTATTTGTGCGGCGCCCCATCTCTTTCCCCCCCCCCCCCCCGCCCTTTGTGTCTGCGTCTCTCTGACCTATGTACTCTCTCATCCCCAACAGGGTCGCTCACTTACTGTATTTACCTGAAAGTCAAGGAGGTTGCTGACAATAAAGAACAAATTATTTAAAATATTGTGGCAACTTTTTTCGAAATTTCTTTTTGGAATGAAAATTAAGGAATAGGTGAGAGGAGGTGGATGGGAAAGTCGCAAAGATAAAGCTTATATAATCTATCATGAGTTCTGAGTCTCGTACTTGGAGATGCTCTCGGTAAATATTTTTAGCGCCTGCCATGGTAAACAGATGAGTTTTCTTTACATCATATGGTTAGAAACAACGAGAAACTTTTCGTTTTTTTTTGAACATGGGGGTTTCCCTAGATTAAGTATCAGATGGAATTTATCTGAAATTGTTAGTAGATTTAGATTCTACCTTGGAGCATTTGTTTTGAAGTATTAGAGATGATTTTTAGAAATTATTTGAAACACTCGACGGTCACTATCGTAACCAGATTTATCCTAACCAGAACCCTTTTCTTAAAACCAAAAAGAAACCACATCCGTCCGAGTCTATTCTTGATTATATCCCTTTCATTGGGATGTTTCTTTTTGCATGTGCATCGAGCATCTCCATCTCCCATTCTCGATGCATCAGAAAACTCATGTCGTGAAATTCGAGAAGTCGTTTTGCGTTTTGCATCGTTTTTCCTTCTTTCCGCCCATCTCATCCTCCCCATTCTCCTTTCGTTTTCTCACACGTTGAACCCTTTTCTCCGTCGTTTTTTGTGTGCCCCTGAATGTTTTTTTTCATCCGAGACCTAAACTTTTTTTGTGTTCATCACTACTTTTTTTACTCCCTTCACTTCTTTTTTTTTCTGACCAATGGTTCTCATATTTGTATGGGAGGCTGAACAGAATGACAAGAGGAGGCGTGAAAAGAGAGGAACAGTGATAATAAAAATATACATGAATATGCATACGATCGCCTTCTCTCATCCTCTTCTCTTTTTTCTCTTTTCCCCTACTTGTAAAACTTGAAGAAGTAAAGAGGGGAACGATTGTTTTTACCCGGGATTACTTATTTTTTTTTGATGGCTCACAAGTGCGATTCGATTTATTTTTAAACACTTAATTTTTTTTCAATTTCAGACATTTAAACCATAACATCATCGAAAACCATTATTTTGAACTTTCCGTCATCGTGAAGCAAATTGGTTTTAACTCTTTTTCCTTTTTTGATTCCCCACCCAATGTACTATCCTTTCTTATCTCGTCTCCAAGTTTTTCATAGTGCACCTTTCATATTTCAATCCGTTGTTTTTAAAATATTTTTTCTGTATCTGTAACGATTCCTATTTTAAGAATGTTTGCCTATGACCGTCTGGCACTCGATCTGGCAGTCTTTAACTTGAAAGATGTTGATTCGGGAAATTCGTCGTCAAGCGAAAGATCATCACCCCCGACACGCATCATGTCACAGGTAAGAAAGAACACTTTCAAATTAAAGTGATCGAAAATTAATTTTTTTGAATGACCTGTTTTTATTATCAATAGTTAGGAATGTAATTAATTTCAAAACAGTTCTTAAGTTAGGTTTTCCATTTTTCCTGTTCTAGTTTCGATAGTTACCGTAAATACTTCAATAGAATTACACCCAATCCGTCAACTTTGAGCCGATATATCTCATTTCCTGTGAAAGGTATCTGAAAGTGGTCAATTGACAAAAAGTTTATCATAATATCAAAATTATTTTGTTAGTCATCAACTTTTTGATACCTCTTACCGGAAATGAGATAGATCTTGATTAGAAGAGCCCATCTATAAATTTCGCTCAATTTCAGAAAAACGTTTTTATCTCGAAAATAAATATGAAGAAATTTTGATAAGTTTATAGATTTTCAAGAATTTCAAACCGAAACAAACTAAAATTTCCGACGAAAATGCTTATAACAAATACTCGAAACTAACTGGGTTCCCTCTAATTAATGGGCCCCTGTAACGGAGAGACCCTCCATAGATGTTTCTACTTTCCGTTGAGAAGGGAACAAGGAAATAATAATATTTACTTCCTCATGTTATCAAAATTATCATTTTATTGACTGTTTTCAGGCTCAGAACATCAATGATGAGTCAGGAAGTAGTGGATACGGTAGCCCGACACGAACACCTTTAGCATCTCCATCCAACGACATATTCAGCTGTAGGTTTTTTTTGAATAGACTCGAAAATTTTCAAATGATAATTGCAGCCGTTCTTCCACTTCAAGTCCAACGTGCCTTCTCAGCTCAAGGACCGGAAGACATTGCTCGTCACTTTGGTGTTTCACCGGCTCCACAGACCAAGCAACCAGTTCAAGAAGTTCAACAACAAACTCAAGCTCAAAACAATCTGAGCACTGCGCAGGCTCTTGCCGCAGAAGACGGTTTCTCTTTAGCTGAAATTGCTGGATTTGCAGAGCTCTTGTCTTCTCCAAAGAAGGTACTGTTCCCTTTTCAAACAAAACTATGTGCATTCCACTTTGATTCCAGACACCACCACCACGCTATCAATGCCACATCTGCTATGCAACCGGTCATCATTACATCTCGGATTGCCCACAACGATTCAATTCTCCGTACGACGAATTGACACCATACCAAGGTAGAAAGAAGTGCTACGGAGAGTTCACTGTGAGTTGTTTGGAAAACTAGGTTCAAATAATCGAGATGTTTATTTTCAGTGCCAACTCTGCAAACGCAAGTGGAACAGTCAGAACAGTGTTGCCAATGAGCCACAGAGCTGCATCAAGTGCCATGTTCCAGTTTTCCCACACAAACAGGTGAGGAAAGAATAAGGTTGATGATTGGTAATTACAAAAAAACTGACCTGATGTCAACATTAATTTTGTAAAGTAACGTATTCTGTAAAGCTGAACTGAAGAACAAAAAAAACCTAAAAGAAAACAAAAGAGAAGAATGCCAAGAAGAAGAAACGCTTCATTTGTTCTCTTCAGTAGTTGACCTACTTAACTTAAACGACTATGTCAGGTGTTTTCTTCCATTAGGTACTACACCCAGGAGATTGGAAAACTGAAAAGAAATATGAGGAACGGATGAGGACCTTTCCTCATATTCACACAGGGATCGAACTGTTGTGGGTATGCGGTGGCACTCTAATGAGAAGAGGCACGATTCTTCTCATTGGAGGGCAACAGCATACCATAGCTGTTTGAGCCCTGTGCATGCATTAGGTAAAAGACTGGAAAAAGTCAATTTTATTTGTTACAGCTCCCTGTTGAGAAAGCCGTGACACTAGGACTAATCAAGGCTCAAAATGTGACCAAAGTTGCTCCAATCGGACACGGAAGACCTCCAGCAAGAAAGCATGAAGAGATATCACGCCGTCATTGAATCCAGACGATGAACGTCTTCCGATTCTTACCAATCGACATAGGAGCCAACTTTTGTTCATCCTATTTGTATCATATTGTTTCTATCTCCTTTCCAAAACAACCACTTCTACTAGATTTCTATAAAAATCAAGAGAGCTTTCAACTTGTTTCTTTTTTCCTTTTTTGTGTGTACATGTCGTTCCTATCCTCCTTTTCCCTTTCTCATCCAAACACTTTCCATGCCGCCCGACCACTTTCTCTCCATTTCTCCAGGTACTCAACTATCTTCTGTAAATTTTTGAGTCTGAAATATTTCATCTCCGAAAAACTCTTTCTATATATTTGATGATCACTTTATTTCGTCTCTGTCTGTATTTTCTCTTATTCTTTTTCTGTAAACTTGTCATTCTCTTTCATCTTTCTAATCTTCCACCATTCAAACCCCGGTCTTTGTAATAATTGTAGGTTTTAGAGTAATAAAAAAGCTTTTTTTTTCAAAACAAATTGAATTTTTAGCTACATTCCAAAAACTCCATGGAATTCAATCAAGACAATTAAGAAAACGGTCATAAAACAAATTGAAAGCTTGCTGAATTTGAAAACCGCGCCAAATATGCATGCAAACGGCCGACTTCGGAATGTCGTTCGTGTAGTCCACGAGGACAAAATCAAAAACTACTTTTGGGAATTCGTTGTTCTTCAAAGTTCTCTTCAATTTCAAATCGGGCTTTCATACTTTTTCGTCTTTAATAACTGATAATTGCTCCTTTGTTTTCATTTTATCAAATCTAATAAATCCTTTTAATACCACCGTTTTCATTTCTTTCCAAACCAGGTTATCAAACCCCTGTCTTTATCAGCCAGCTTTCTGGAAAATTTGCCAAAAATAACAGCTTCTCAACAAGCGAGAATGTGCTGCTAATTTCTAGATGTCGACTGGGGAAGCACCAGGGACGTGTACCGAGCTGCACGACTGTCGTGACGTCATCGGCACCGGTTCTTCCATCGACACGATCAAATTCCACCGCTTCCACATGTTCGACACTGACTGGAAGCTAAAACTACATATTGACTGGGCTGAGGAACTTGGAAATCATGTTTTATCGTTACGGATGCGACACCAAAGGTACTCTGTTGATGATATCTGGAATCTGAATGCTACGATTCGGATTCAAGTTAATGAAAAATGGCTCAAAACGGACACGGTCGTTGAAACGGAGTTTTCGAATCGGAAACGAGAAATCACGATCGCCGACATCGGCAGAATGCCCGAAGAAGTAAACTACGTTACTTGTGTCCACCTGAAAGTTTCGATGCAGGTAAGATATAACCGAAAATAGGGTTGGCAACGGGGCTCTCAAGTCATCGACTGATTGGATTGTGGCAATTTTGTACCCCTGTAGATAATGAATAACTAAAGAAAATAGAAAAATAAATAATTTCACCATTAACTCTCTTAATCCGAAAGTTTGTGCCAGCATAAGTGAATCTTCTAGATTGAAACTACCGTGCTTCACGAGCCATTTGTCAGCTACT